ATTCAGTGAAATGAGACCGAGAATGAGCCAGACAGAATGGCAGAGAATGGAATCATCGACACACTAAGCACCAACACAACAACAACAGCAGCAGCAGCAATACCAACACCACGCTGACTTCTCTCATTTCCTTTTATTCCCCTGGTTTCATGCGCAGGCACATTGCCATCCAATTCCCGTCCTCCTCGGTTGTCGGTGTGTGTAAGTGCCTGTTCTGTTAGTTGAGCACCAGTTTTCAGTTTGCCAGTCTGCCGTAAGTGTCGCCCAGAAGCGCCGACAGAAGCCAAGACACACACGGTGCGATGTTGCTGCTGCTGCAGCTGCTTCGGATGGTAATGTGCACTGCACGGCAAATCATGCTCTGGCTATTCGGTCGACACTGTCACTATTCGGATTCTGGCAGTCGCTGCCGTATATAGCCTCAATATCAGAGAAATGAGGCGACCGTCTTTGCCGCTCGGGTAGAGAGCTCTTCACACATTGCCTCTCTCTCTCTTTACCCTGCATGTAAATTAAGTGCTGCTGAAGTTTCGGTGGCGCCCAAATTAACGGAAACTTTTTTACATTTTTTCCTGTTCATCGATCGACGGCAAAAAGTGTAAACTTCTCTTGATGTGTTCATTACCCTTGCGGCAAGTAGTGGCAGCAGAAATTGTGAAATGCAGCAGCACAAGTAGCACTTGTGTGTCGCCGATCAATTAACTCTGTTTTTAGTGGTTAATCGGTAGATTAACGATAATGAATGAAAGACGTGATTGACAGTAGAGTGCTTAGAGTGTTTTTATACAATGTATGCGCCTGTTAATGAGGAACACAACGGATGTGTGTGCATAACTTGTGCCATTGTTAGACACTCTTCTTGTCGTCTCCCTTCGATTAATTAGTTGTCCTGTTGGCCTCGCATCTATCAGAGGATGCTCGCAGACGTTGCCGATGACACCATTAGCCAGAGCACCAACACAAATGATCATTGTGGACAGCGAAGAAGCGTGGCGAAGAGACAGTGCGTGCAGTCACTCTGTGATGGGCGAAAAATGCCGGGTGTGTTCACCATAGGAAGCCTCAGGGAAAGTGTATGCATGTCTGTGTGTGAGTGTCATCCTCAGTGCAACCTCGAACTGGCTGGGTGACTACATTTCGAGAGGTAGTCTCCACTCAGACACATACCACTAACTGGCCGCACAGGTAGCCACTGCCACTTCGGTGCCTGCACCTCCACTCAGCCAGCACACAGACACTCGCACAGACACACTCTCCCCTGCTCTCTACCTGCTCATAGTGCTGGGTAGTGCTGATCAGGATGGTAGTGGTGTGTATCTCCTGACGACGACAACCACGAAACATTCAACGGCCACCGAAACATAGCAACACTGAAAACACCACTGACTGTAAACATTCGCAACACAGGCGGTGACACATTGAGGGAGAGAGCAGCCAACGCCACAGGAACGGCAGTTTTGTGTTTCTTTTGCGGGAGGCGCCGATATTTGCCGACTGTCCAACACACATCGACCACAACGACCAAGCGGCACTGCCGACACTGCCCACATCGCCGATGACCTGCCCACGTTGACCAGCACCTGAGCCCACCTGCGCCCACCGACGACCACCGATCATGCTGACCGAGTGCTGGGCCCCGTGCTTCCGCCTCGACTCGGGCTACCTCGGCCTGGAGCGGGCTTCGAGGCTCATTGCCACCTTCACCGGGTCGACTCACATCGTCTTCATCTTCTACGGCGTCTGGATCCTCTGCGGCGGCCAGTCGGACACCTTCTTCTCGCCCTTCTTCGAGTTCAGCCGCCGGGACATGTACGTCCTTGCCACCCTGCTCATCCTCTACTGTCTGCTCTACGTCTTCATCGGCTCGCTTAGCCTCTTTCGTGCCATTAAATCGGTAATATTTATATGGTGTTAACGCAACAAATTTCTAACCTATTTTCTTTCATATTTAGGAAACGCGCTTCTTCTTCATGCCCTGGCTCTACGCAACCATTACGGAGATTCTCTTCTTCACCGGCTTTGGCATCTTTCTGCTCTACCGTTACTACCACAATGTATGTGAACACGATTCTCATCGACCAATCGACCTGTAGCTGTTCACTGACAGTAATGTTATTCTCTTTCCCCCCATTTGCAGGAATGGTCACTCTTTGCGGCCATCGTCCTCTGGTCTGCGTCGGCGTACCACTTTTACCTCTGGCTGGTCGTGGTGTCGCTCTACTTTGAGATCAAGCGCGTTCAAGAGCCCACCTTTGTGGTTATTTATCCGTAAACGACCACTTTTCTACTGACACACACTCATGCAATCTTCAGACCTCTCTCTTTCTCTTTACATGATCAGTATTGGCACCAAATTCTATTTTATTCTTTTTTGNCTACTACCACAATGTATGTGAACACCATTCTCATCGACCAATCGACCTGTAGCTGTTCACTGACAGTAATGTTATTCTCTTTCCCCCCATTTGCAGGAATGGTCACTCTTTGCGGCTATCGTCCTCTGGTCTGCGTCGGCGTACCACTTTTACCTCTGGCTGGTCGTGGTGTCGCTCTACTTTGAGATCAAGCGCGTTCAAGAGCCCACCTTTGTGGTTATTTATCCGTAAACGACCACTTTTCTACTGACACACACTCATGCAATCTTCAGACCTCTCTCTTTCTCTTTACATGATCAGTATTGGCACCAAATTCTATTTTATTCTTTTTTGTTTCATAGCGCATCTATAAATAACTCGCACCACACTGAGGCATGCAAACCTTTTATTTTCTGTTAAAAATTCTTTTATTTTTCTTGTAATATACGCTATCTTATGTTGACCATAACTTGCAAAATTTTATACGCCACCATTTGATGAGTGAAACACATTTATGCTCAACAGCTCGTAAAAGCTGGACTTTAATAACAACAAAATAAAACGTTTTTATAAAGATAGCCAAGCCCATTTGTGGCCAAGTCATCAAACCACTTGGCATCAGACCTCATCTTCAATGTGGGAGTTCTTCTTAGAGAAGGTAGACGAGGACGATCGAACGGAAAAGCCCACCGAATTGGTGGAGGCGTCAGAGTCGACGCTGCATATCGAACTATTTGGGCAGATCTTTGTTGTAGAGCGCTTGTGACTTGATGATGACTTCAGCGGTTCAGCATTCTTCAGCACCTTTCCTTTCTTTGCGATGCAACTTTTACCGCCAGCCTTTACTACAGGCGCCGCCGCTCCCGTCTTGGAGCCGCCGGTGCCAATGAGGGCCACCTCTGAGCAGAGTCTCATCTTCCGGTAAATACTTCGCTTAATCTTCTCCTCGTCAATCTTCACCTTGGGCTGTGGCCCCTTGGCGAGCTTCAGCAGTGATGGCCGCTCAGTGCATGGTAGCCGGCTGCTGGCAGGGCCAGTGTGACTGTGGTGGTGCTGCTTGTGGTTCTTTTGGAAAGAATGAACTTTAGTTTGGTGTGTCTTGGATTCAGTCGTCTTTCCAGCGACCACTGTCTTGCTGTGCACATAAGCAGGACTCTGCTCAAATGTGGGCGTTGACTTGTTGTGTGCATCCGTGCAAGTGTCGTGCGGACATCCATCGCCAGGCTCCGGATTGGAGCAGCATGTGCCCATGACTGTGTTCGGTGGTGATAAGTCGAATGAGTTGAGCGAGTGACAAATAAGAGCGACTGAATTGGCTGAGCTGAACGTCATAGTTTACCGTCAGGTAAAACTTTTTTCGAATTTATTTAAAAACATTGTTGAATTAAAACTTTCCTTTGTTAGAACTAGTTAGCGCATTAGATGTTTTTATCAATTGGAACAATATTATTAATCAGCTTTTTGCTGTGCTCCCAGAGCATAGCCGCTAAAAGCTCATTGTTTGCCAACGAAGAAGGTGTGCATTCCTTGCAGTTGTTAAAGTAGAGCCCTCCGTGACGCTCAAATTCGGGTGCAACGGCGCAAAACACAACTGTCGCTGCACCTTGATTCTTTAAAATAAAACAATATTAAAACAAAACTTTTTTTATAAGCAAAATGTAGTCGCACTTACGCTTCCTTTGGTGAAGGGGCGAGCGAGAAAGTAGACTAATCTCAAGAGCCACCAGTACCGTTGCAGGTTGGTGAAGACCATATTTCCCGGATGGCAACTGAGCACAGTTATGTTGTGCTTGTAGAGACGACGGTGCAGTTCATTGGCAAAGAGAATGTTGAACAGCTTCGAGTCATTGTACGCCATGAACGAGACGAAATTAGATGAACTACAAAAATACGTAACACAATGGTAATAGGCTCTTTTTCACCTTACGTTCAACTAGTACCTCCAATCAGTGGTGATGTTCTTTTCGTTAATCGTACTGAATCTATGGCTTTCTGAAGACACGACGACGACTCGTGATGGTGCACTTTCAATGAGTGCCTTTTGTAGAAGAAGAGTCATATAGAAATGCGACAGATGATTCACTTGGAATGTCTGCTCAAGATTATCGCCAGTAAGAGTGTATGGCAATCCATTTACTGCAGCGTTCAGAATCAGCATGTGAAGAGGCCTAAATGATATAAAATACTTGTAAATTTCACTTCGACTTTAGAAAACAATGATATAACTTACAGTTTCAGCATTAAAAATTGATCGCAAAAAGTGTACACACTTTCTAAACTTGTCAAATCACAGTGCAGATAAGTCAGTAGGGCAGTTGGCTAAAAGTTAGCGCTTTTTAAAAGTTGGAAACAAATGAAAAAAATTGTATTTACGTAAATGGAAAGAATGTCCTGGATAGCTTGATTGGCGCTGTCGTTGTTGCGACACGCCAAAATGACATGAGCACCTCTAGAAGCGAAAGCTTTTGCCGTTTCGAAGCCTATACCGCAATTGGCACCGGTCACAATCGCACACTTTCCACTCAAGTCCAGTGGTCCAAGTACATCGTCGGTAGTGCTGGAAGATCCCAGCTCTTTGTATCTGTTTGTCAGCGCTGGTGCATTAGCCTCTGACATTTCAACGGCATAAGCTAAACGGGGATCGCTGCGAGACGTTTGATCGGTGTCAGGGCTGTTGTACAACAAAAACAAATGTCAGATTTTCACTGTTTGTAACGCTCAAACAATCCGCACCCACTTGTAGAAACATATGTCGCCATCTGAGAGCTCTCGCTTTTGCCAATCTGTTAGTTTGTAAAGAACGCGCGCGCGTTTAGTTTTCAAAAAAAGCAACACTTGATAGATCATTTTGACTTACTGCTTGGAAATGATCTGTCTATAAACTTTCTTTTTCCGCTCACCGGGTGATACCATTGTGTGGCTTTTGTATTACGACTAAAAAAGTTGTTTTTAATTGTAGGGATTGATTGAATCAGAGTGAACTAATACTCACTTGACGTAGTACACAAAATCGCTGTTATCCGAAACGCGCTGTTCCCAGCTGGTGGCAAAAAATGAAGAAGTATCAGTTAGTTAATTAATTACAAAAATGTTTAGTAAGTTCGTTTACCCGGCGGGAATATCATCATCTGATTCAGAGTCCGACATGATGCTTAGAAGTCTCCCGGAGAAGTGTCAAAATGCAAATGTTTTGGTGCTCTTAGGCGCTGAAAAACGCCGTCTACGAAGAGGACCATTTGGAACTTTTTTTGGAATTTGAAACTCCAAATGGATAACGTGATATAAAATAGAAACTTTTTGAGCACACTTTTTTAAATGAAAAAACTAAAATGGCGTTTGCAAGTTTACAGCGAAACGCTAGTTTTGATCAAGACTTTTGTCCAATAAACAGTAATGAGACTTGCAAGCTGACTCAAGTGTGCTGTCCAAATAAAACCGCCTGCTGTCCTGATGAGTTACTGTAAGTTAGTTAACTGTTTTTGCGCAACTCTTTTTAGTTTAAAACTATTTATTTTTATTGCAGTACACAGAACACAATTGCCCTCTTTGCGATCATCACAGTGCTCATGATAATTGACGTGCTGGTCGGCTACAAAGTGTACCAGCGCTGGAAGGGGAAACGAGAAGCCAAGGAACGGGCTGAGATGAGCATTGAAGGGGCTAAAAAGAAGAAAAAGACACTCAAAGATAATCATTTTGGCAGCATATGTTTGAAAGAAATAAAAGAAATGATCCAACCTGGAGAATCTCAGACCATCAGTTAAACTTCTGTGAACATTGACTTTTTTCAAATAAAGAACCTACTTTGCTCACGCACTTTATGAACGCCCCACCAAAGTAACACAAAACAAGAAAATCGGGAATAAATTCCACACTGTTTGCGCTTATTCTACCATAGCCTTGGTACAGGCAAAACTGCCGAAATCAGCTCCCGATTACAAATTATTTGATTCAAAACAATCGGCTAGTTTTCATTTTTTACCAGTTTTTTGTACATTTTTTCAGTTCTTTCAACGTAGAACAATGAATCTTGAGTTACTTAATCAGTTCGGACAACCGTTTCCAGAGGATTTCGACATTGAACTTCCTCAAGTGTGCCATGCCACAGTTGCGGCCTTTAACCGGCGAGGCTACGTTTTGGCCGTCGGCTCCAACGATGGCCGCGTTTTCATCTGGGACATCATGACTCGAACCATTGCCAAAGTAATATCGGCCCACGGGAGCATTGTCACTGCGTTAAGCTGGTCTCGCAACGGCAAACTGTTGGCAACATCTTCCACTGACTGCTATGTCTGCATTTGGGATGTCATCACTTCAGAGTGCATCATTCAGTGGCACTTTACCAGTGCAGTACTCTTCGTACAATTTGCTCCAAGAGATGACACCATTCTGCTCATTAGGCGAATAAAGGAATCTTCTTTGTTGGTCCGATACGCACGAACCAAAGATAAGACAGGTACAAAATCTTGGTTTGTTGTAATAGTGATTTTGCCTAACATGGTTATTTGTTTTTAGTTCATACTAAAGAGCACACTCGTGTTCCACCTGATGAAGATTCAGACTTTGATGTGGTGTCATGTTTCGACCGGCGAGGCGAGTACATATACTCGGGAAACTCAAAAGGGCGCATTCAAGTGATGAAGGTCAAACCGGGCACTATTGAAGTTTTAGTGCTTACCTCATTTCGTGTCTCAAACACTGCTATTAAGCAGATTGAGTTTGCCCCAAAGAAAAAGAATTTGTTTCTTGTAAACAGTGCTGACCGAATCATCCGCGTGTACGACACAAATCAAATTCTGGCTGCTGTTCAAGCCAATGCTGCAAATGCTTCCAATGTAAGCCAGAATCGAAGTAGAAAAGTTCAATCAAACAGTGGGTCCACTGTCGATTTACGCATTCCCGATCCAGAGCCATGTCAAAAGCTGCAAGATCTTATTAATCGAACAACATGGAGGAAGTGTGTCTTTTCTGGCAGTCCTGAATCTGACTATATTTGTGCTGGATCCTCACGCAGTAATTCGATCTACATCTGGGAACTCACTTCTGGCACTGGCACTTTGATGAAACTTCTTCGCGGTAGTAGGGGCGAAATTATTAACGATGTTGTTTGGCATCCTATTCGTGCCTTTGTTGCTTCCATTGCCAGTGGGTATGTGTCGCTGTGGTCTGCAGCTCAAGTAGAAAACTGGTCTGCTTTTGCGCCGGACTTTCAAGAACTGGAGGAAAATGTTGAGTACGAAGAGCGCGAATCAGAATTCGACGATGAGGACGAAGACAAGGAGCCTAAGAAGGTAGACCCTGATGCGAAAATGGTTGATGATGTTTGTGTTGACGTCGTCACTCCGGTCACTGTGGATGCTTATCTTAGCAGGTAGGAAGGGAACAGAGATTTACTTTCAAACACTAACACTTTACTTTATGCTATCTATGACAGTGATGAAGAGGAGGAGAACCCTGATGATCTGATTTACTTTCCGAACTTTATGAATGTCGATGAAGATGAGGTAGTACTGGACTCGGTCGAGGACGAAAGTAAAAGTGGTCACAAGGAAAAGATAATCAAGGATAAAAACAAATCAGACCCCGAAGGAATCAAGGCACTTCAAACTCGCAATCGCAATGCTCCTACACTTGAGCTGTAGAGTGCTGGTACGACTCCATCTATTTGGGTATTTTTTCCTTCATTGTAAATTCTCTTCATTTAAATTACGCGCTATAAATAATAGCCCAGTATTTTTCTACTAGCTGACAAATGAGGGTCTCTCTGTTGGTGCCCTGACTACTGTTCACTTGACCATTTGCAAATTGTCTGTCGTTTTTTTTCTCTCAGTGGCCATTCTTTTTCCCGTTGTTGTTGCTGTTGCACCCTATCGATTAGCAATTAACACTTTGAGTCCGTCTTTTGTTGTTTGCTAATGCGACTGAATCTATCTGCTGTTGTATCCGCTCTCTATTTAATTATTCCCCAGCCTGAATGCAGCAGCACTCATCTTCACTGCAAGCTGCTGCTGCTGCTGCTGCTGCCTCCGAGCAAAATTAATGACCGATCCAATTGAATGACTGACCCGCGCCACACAGCGTAGCGTGTCAGCGGACTTTCACGAAGATNTTTGTTGTTTGCTAATGCGACTGAATCTATCTGCTGTTGTATCCGCTCTCTATTTAATTATTCCCCAGCCTGAATGCAGCAGCACTCATCTTCACTGCAAGCTGCTGCTGCTGCTGCTGCTGCCTCCGAGCAAAATTAATGACCGATCCAATTGAATGACTGACCCGCGCCACACAGCGTAGCGTGTCAGCGGACTTTCACGAAGATGTGAGGAGAGTGGAATGGTCTCTGCAGCGCAGTAGTAAGTTGTGTTGCAGTGGTGTTAATTAAGCGTAGATTAATTGCCATGTCTTACATAATTAATGAAGTGACCATCGCCTGGCAAGTTAAGTGATATCGCCATTTGGCCACTTCCTCCCCTCACTCACACTTCGCCCCGATCGATTCGACCTTTCGCAGAGGGCCACAATAGCCTGACACAATAGAACCAGGCAGCAAACAGCATTCTGCTGAGAGTGCCTGTTGTGCTGCTATTCCTCACTGTGGATGTGTGTTGTTGTCTTGTTTTTTGTTCGCTTTATGTTTTCTTTTGTTCTCTCTGTGTGCATCCGATATGAAGTGGTCAGTGTGTTCCCGAGTGTGCACCCTCATCAGCACTTCACACTTAATGCTAATGACACCGACTGTTTGGGTGACAGTGCCAGCCAGTGTCTCACACATCTTCATCTCCACCGCCTAACTTCATTATCGACAATCAGGCGCTAATCTAATCAGAGTCAATGGCAGTGCTCTTTTGTTGATCATAGGCAAAGTGAGACAGCAAAGTCTGACACGTCCTTTTGGTCATCGTTCCAAACTATCTGGTCATAACTTTTGCAAATTTGCACCATTAGCGAATCTTTCTGTTATTTTCGTTAATTAAATTTATATTTTGAGTTCTCATTTCCTCGACTCATTTACCGACAGCATGATTTGTGCATTTGTCTGATTGCCTCAGTCTTAAAGCCACTCGTATGGGGAGCAATGAGAATGGGAGTGCTTTTTTAAACCAGCGGATGAACACTACAACAACCAGTCTTTACAGCTCCCCAATGGAGTGATGCGGTCTAAATTACCAATTTTTATGATAACTTTTTACGGTTGCCTTTTGACTGCCATTCAAATGCC